GTTATGTTAGTGTAGCCATATTAAAAAAGTGATATTAATGTGGACTACCATCTGTGGCCATAGTCCTTTTTTTTTTTTTTAATAGACTTTATTTTTTTTATTAGTTTTAGGTTGACAGCAAAATTAAGCCATAGTCTTTTCTTATAGCGATGAGATATCATGTTAGTATTTATTAAAAGAAATCTGTCTCTACTAGCAATTGCAGTATATACACAATATGTAGTTTGCAATCTCATATTTGCTTTTCTATAATTGTCTTTTTTCAAAGTATTACCATTTGGACTGAATATAACATGTATAATTTCATTATGAAAGAATTTACTAAGTCACCAAAGTGAAACGTGAAACAGCAACGGGTGTTACTGGCACACTAATAGAGAAGAGGCATTTTTTGAAATCTTTTTCGTGTCCTGGGAATAGGAGTGTGAATTTGTGTCTTGTGATTTGTTATTCTGTTTTTACTGCTTTGGGATTGAAGGCTTTTATTTATGTATTTCATATTTTGGCAGCTTCAAACAGGATAAGAATTTTTAGGTCTGTTTAGAAAAAGCTGTGTGACATGAGTGTTAGACACGTACACATGCCACAGATGTACGTAAATTATTGGAGCTTCAAGGAAACGTTAGTTTTTTTAGAGTATATATATACTTCTCTTTTTTTTATTTAAAGTAACTTCTATCCTAATTGATGTATCAGTTACTATTGAACATGAGCTAATTATAAATTCAAAAGTATGTGTATAATATAGTTAACATGCACTTACGAGGGAAAGCATAGAAACCCTAAAATATCAATTTCTGATTGTAAAGTAAAAATTTACCATGCCTCATTTTTCTCCAGTGATAAAATTGGCTAATCTTTCAACCGGCACTTTTTACTCTTGGGAGGGAAGAGTAGGGGTTATCTTAGTTTGAGCTACTGTAAAAGAATCCAGCACCACAAAGCTGGCATTTTCAATTTCAATAAAATTATTTCTTTTATATCAGCATTATGAAAACTTTATATTTTGGTATATCTTGCACTTTCAGAAAGTTCTCTTAATAGCTAATATAATTGAACTGCATGTTGATATTTAAATTAAGAAAAAATTCTTACACTCTCTGTATTTTAATATATCCTGTCATCTAGAGCCTAGATGATATTAGTTAATTGCACGGCTGTGGCATGCATTAGTGATATTTTCAAAATATATTTTTTTAGGTTATTTTGGGGGGTGTATGATATATTTTTAAAACTTTATTATGGAAAACTTTAAACGTTTACAAAGTAGAGAGAATCATATAATGAACCCTTACATATTCATCTCATGTCCTTACGAGTTTAATATCATGTCCAATTTTATCTGCATATTCCTCCCATTCCTTTTCTCTCCACTTCCCCAGTGATTGGGAAGGAAATCCGAGACATGACATAATTTCATTGATAAATATTTCAGTGTGTAACTCTAAAAGAGAGTGCAAGTTATTTGTATTCCCTGTGAGTACTAGCTAGCTCTGTTGTAGGGAGGAAGTCACAAGTTCTTGGAAACAGGCCTGTCATTGCATTTTATTGTAGTTAATTTGCATTTAGAAAGATCAAGCATTTGTATTACTTGGGTATTTTATTATTACAGTGAATCTCAAAGGATTTGAAATGTTGATTCTGTAAATGGCATCTACTCTACGAAAACATTATGAATTACCATGGTGTGTATGTATGAAGTTATGTGACAGACCTCACTGCAGAGCTAACCTACACTTTGCTTTGTCGTTTGGTTGTGCCCCCCTCCGATTTGTTTGTTTATTTAAGTACTGAGAAACAGGCAGCACTTAACATTTAGTTTCAGGTGACATTCTTTAAACCTCTGTGTGTGTCATAAAAAAGAGAAAGGTGAGGGAAAAGGGAGAGAGGGAAGGAGAGAGGAAAAAGGAAGGAAGGTAGGAAGGAAAGGGATGTGGGACCGAGAAAAGAGAAAGGGCAGAACAGGGTAAGTGTCACAGCCAAGGTGCCAAATTGTGGAGATAAACTTCATCCTTCCCTCACTAACTCAGCCTCCTCTCTTGGTCTTGATTTTTTTTTTTTTTTTTGAGACAGTATTGCTCTGTCAGCCGGGCTAAGTGCAGTGGTGTCATCATAGCTCACTGCAGCCTCAAACTCCGGGGCCCAAGCGATCCTCCTGCCTCAGCCTCCCAAGTAGTTGGGACTACAGGTGTGCAACACCACGCCTGGTTAATTTTTCTATTTTTTGTAAAAATGAGATCTTGCTATGTTGTCCAGGCTGGTCTCAAACTCCAGGCCTCAAGTGATCCTCCCGGTTTGGCCTCCCAAATGCTGGAATTACAGGCATAAACCACTCATCTTGACTTTTTTATCTCTCCTTTTTCTTGATCCATGCCCCCGACCCCACAACACCTTTGGTTTCTATTTTCTTCCTCTCTCGGCATTTACTAAACTTTACCTGTTGCGTTTAGAGTCAGGAAGATTGCTGACTCCTCCCTTAAAGGGTGTTTTTATTATGTAGGGGTT